TGAGGGCATTACAGCACCTACTATGCGGGTTTCAGGTCTTTCACCATGGACACACAGGCCAACTTAATTCTGCTTAACACCACCTTAAAGCTTTACTACTTTATTCACCATTTCAAATTACACAATAAATGTGTTCCAAAAATAACATTTTCAAATGATGATTAAGGCCGAATTGTGCAACATTGAGGCTATTAATTAGGATCTTTTAACTTACTTACTTGTCAAACTATATATTTTATGTCTGTTTAAATGTCAATCAAGTTGTACATAGTTGGAGCATAAAATGGACAAAAATACAGAATTTGGAGAGAAAAGAGCTTCCCGCACGTGCGTTGACTTTTCCCGCACGTGCGGCCGTACCTCGGAAAATGGGCCCGATGTTTTGAACCTGTTTGAAAGACAGCAGAGATATAAAAAGGCAAGAAAGAGGCTGGATTAGGGTGATATTTTTCAAAGGAGAGAGAAGCTAGGGTTTGGAGGAAAGGATTCTCAAGCTTTCAATCTAACTTCCATGGGGTCTTCCACCTCTTCCCACTCCTCCATGAGTGGCTAGGCTCTTCTTTTCTAGGGTTTTGATGAAACCCTAGCTATGTAATGAGGTTTTCTTTTTGATTTTTGATTATATAAAGGTTTGAACAATTGTATGGTGCTGTAGAAGTTTCAAATACATATTTTTCATTATTTCTTTGAGTATTTGGATTTCTGTGATTGTTGAATGCTTTCCATACAATTATTTTCTTTTGTTTCATATTCAAGGTATGAGACGATCCATACAACGAGGGACGAGTCGTTTTCCTACCCTAGTTTAGAGCGAACAATTCGTTGAGATAGTTCGTGCCTATACATTAAACGTGATGATTTTCTTGATAAATGCTTCGAACTTGTAGTTTCGAAGTATTATTTAGTTCGAACCGTAGCATAATTGACTTCAAATTGAATCCTTATTTATGTAGCTAGTGGTGAACTCATTGCCCTAGGTTTTTCCCAAATCAGTAAATTCCAATTTTATTTATAATTGCTAGTTTCATCGCTTTGCTTAATTTAATTATTATTAGTTTATGAATCCCTCATCTTTTTCATCAAAGTTAAATTAGGAATTTAATAATTAAATTAGTTTAATTTCACAATTGTCCCTGTGGATCGATACCTGGACTTGCCATTATTCTAAAAGAATTTGGTATAGTTTAGTATTTAATTTTAGTGTGTGTAACGTCCAATCTAATGATAAGTAATGTTTTCAAACACAATGTGACAATTCTAAAAAATAACCTTTCCAAAACTTACAATTTTGAGTTCCAAATCCATGACACGCATCATGCTATGTACATTTTCCGAAAATATTCCAGTTTGCCTAATTCACATGTAATTTCTGACACAGGGCAATGCTATACTCCACCAATAGCCAAAATAGTTATCTCTAATGCAATAATTAAAAGATAACAATACGGGTATACAATCTAATACCCCAAAACTCATATATATGTATTTCCTAATAACCCAATGTTTGTCCAAAAAGTAAAGACACTGGTTGTTTCCAAAATCTTAGACTATTTTTTTTTTCAATCAAATCCTTTTCTGAAAATCAGTCCAACTTCCAAAAACAATATCATTTAAGGTTTTCACAAATTGGGGCTTTTCCGCTTTTAGAAACCCACATCCAATTTTATATATCAAAAATAGATTTAATAGCAAAACTATAGCCCAACAACCTCCAATTTAGCAAAACACTCAACTCACAAAACATAACTCTAAAATCAACCAAATAATCACCAAAATCTAGATATAAAATACATCATAATTACACTACCAAACTCACATCGAGTTTAAGAAATAGACCCTATCTCTTGAAGGGAAGAGGAGACAAGTTGGAAAAATCGCCAGCGACGAAAATACGAGCCACTCAGATTAAATGGAAGCTCTCGCTGAGCTCTACGTTTTGGTATATGGAATTAGGGGGCAAAAAGTGGGTAAAAATAGATGAAACCCAAGCTTAAAAGCTTAAAAGGGTTAAAATGGTGAAGAAGAGAGAAAGGAAGGAGATGGAATCAAGAAAAATAGATATTTTCAGCTTTTGGAGACTTTTATAGGCAGACAGGTCGCGGGTGCGAAAACAACACCGCGGTCGCAAACAAACCGACACAAGTTGCGGGCACGACCAAAGCAACCACAGGCGCGATGTGGACTCGCCTTTTTCTGCGGCCCCGCCTTTCGCAACCTCCAATTTAGCAAAACACTCAACTCACAAAACATAACTCTAAAATCAACCAAATAATCACCAAAATCTAGATATAAAATACATCATAATTACACTACCAAACTCACATCGAGTTTAAGAAATAGACCCTATCTCTTGAAGGGAAGAGGAGACAAGTTGGAAAAATCGCCAGCGACGAAAATACGAGCCACTCAGATTAAATGGAAGCTCTCGCTGAGCTCTACGTTTTGGTATATGGAATTGGGGGGCAAAAAGTGGGTAAAAATAGATTAAACCCAAGCTTAAAGCTTAAAAGGGTTAAAAATGGTGAAGAAGAGAGAGAGGAAGGAGATGGAATCAAGAAAAATAGATATTTTCAGCTTTTGGAGACTTTTATAGGCAGACAGGTCGCGGGTGCGAAAACTACACCGCGGTCGCAAACAAACCGACACAAGTTGCGGGCACGACCAAAGCAACCACAGGCACGATGTGGACTCGCCTTTTTCTGCGGCCCCGCCTTTCGAAAAGGGTTTGAAAAGAAAGGCCTTACAGTTCGGACTTCCATAGTTCTGAATCTAGTCTCACAAGTGCAATGTGAAATTGATAATCACCAAAGAGTCCAATCCAGCAAATTTTTTTGGAAAATCGATTTTAAATCAAATAATGTCAAAATTGGACTGCTTTGCTAGATACAGAGTCGCTACCTAAATATTTTGTTTTGGAAAAATTTAAGAAACCCTGACTCGTGCCAAAGGCCGCATGTCCGTCATTACCAAAGTTGCCTCGACTAGGAAACTTAGATACGAAAGGGGAATGTCCTGAAATGAGCACCCCCGCTCGCTCGATCAAAGATCGGCCTTTACTAATCATGATATGATTTTTTATAAACATTATGTGTTTTTATTTCGGTTATTAAACTAGCTTTACTATGTGACGCACACATGCAAGTATAGACTAAATCGCAAGAATTTGAACATTTCAAGTCATGTTTGTTTTGCAAAAATGGTTTGAATTTGTCACCCTCAAGTGAGCTTAAAACATGATTTGCCACAATAAAGTGGGCTTAAAACGCGCATTCATTGAATTGTTCCAATTCAAACAACAAAGCCTTCATCCACAGGCATTCATACAGTTAATCATTTAAGCACATAGCCTCATGACAAACATGCTATCATGGCATCATGCACACTCCTGCAAGTATGCTAAAGCGAAAAAGCTTACTACGTACTCCAAGCCAAAACAGAAACTAGTTAGAAATATACATGTTCCCTAACTATACAAGATACCTAATGCAATACATGCGATAATACAATTAATAGGCTCGGTTACTAATATGACATATGAAGCATTTGATAACATGCGGTTAAACACGTATTAAAAGAATTATTGAAATTGCAATGCAGTTTGAATGATGCGTCGAGCCTTGGTGCACGCAAGACAAATGAATGGATGCAAACATGCAAGCATAAGGTATGCTAATTAAAAATGTCCCTAATCTAACCATCAAAATAGGATAAATAAAAGGAAGAAAGACGTGAGGTTGGAAAACATACACATACGCACGCACACTTATTACAAGATTACGCCCTCACGAAGGAGGGTCCGAATAAATTAGCTAAGCTAGTCTAAGCTACGTTAATTAATCTAATTAAACTAATTAGACTAATTATTACAAACCAATGAATAACTAGCCAGCTCATTACTAATTATTACAAACACTTTAATCCACTAGTAAACTAATTAATTAAATTACAACATTGAGGTGAATAAACTAAGCAATTAACCTATTAAACTACGTTGCCACTGCTCCGCCTCAGGAAGTGGAATATGCATGCGCTTGGTTTTCTCCCCAAAAAGACCTCCGCTATGCTCTCAAGAGGCTCTGTTTGCAGGGTTGAGCACACTTCAAAATCTTTTTGCTCCAACTTACCAAGTCTCTGCTAAGGATTGCATTAGTGGCCTGCCGGCCATAGATGGCTATTGCCGGCCCTCTGCCGGCCAAAAGGGTGCCTTGCCGGCCATTAGTGAGGCACTGCCAGCCATTGATACTCTGGAGATTGTTTTGTCTTCATTGGGTTTGTGCTTTGAAGCATAACTTGGTTCGTTATTTTGGGTCTTCTACAACTTTGGTTTTGAAGATTTTGGTTCTTCTATTTGGTGAGGTCTTTCCTCTTATTTATTTGTGATTATTTGGAATTCACCTAATGATGGTTTTGTGAGACCATTCGTGTCTCGTTTGTAATCGTTTGGAAACTATTTGGTTGATAGTGGAATCGGATTTCGATCCCATGAACGTACCTCACATTGAGGGAACCACGTAAAATTCTTGTGTTGCTTTTGATTTTATTTTTCCGCATTAGTTTTTATTCCCATTGATTGATTTACTTGTGGGGAATCATATATTTTCCCTAACATGTAGAAAAGGTAAAAATGTAAAAGCATAGCTTGTCATAGTGATATTTTTCACCAATTCATATGTTAACATTATATTTGACATTATATTTGCTTGAAGTTAAGTATGCATCAAATTGGAACTATGTAAGTTTCAACTATTTTGTGACTACAAGGTTCTGGGGAATCCTGTTGGATCCATGGAAAAAAATAAAATTAATGTTGCATAAAACTCATTTTTATTTTTATTTTATATAAATCAGATGGTTTGCATTAAATATGATTAAAATGGTAAACTCGCAGTGATTATTGACGACAGAGATACTACTTTAGCACTGCGAAAGAATTGATGTGAATCAATGGCACAACAAAGTCTTTTGTGGCAAACCATCTTGCTGAATCCATAGCAGGATTTATGACGATAAGAGCTTTTGGGGAGGAGGAACGATTCTTCGTAAAGAATCTTGACCTCATTGATATAAATGCCAGCCCATTTTTCCACTGTTTTGCAGCAAATGAGTGGTTGATCGAACGGCTTGGAGTACTTACTGCAGTTGTTCTCTCCTCATCAGCACTCTGCATGGTTTTGCTTCCTCCTGGAACTTTCAGCTCTGGTGGGTGGTACTTTTCTAATTTTTTATTTTTATTTTTGTTTTATATATAGTTATTATTGCTATATCCCAAGCAAATTAGAGTTCATTTGAAAACAAAAAGTTATTTAGGGTATGTTTGGTTACATTTATATTTATGGTTTTCTTTTTAATATTTAAAAAAAAAAATTGAAAATTGGAAACAAAAACTAGTTTGGCATCTATTTTTGTTTTCAAAACTTCACAAAATGTACTAAATTCTTGTTTTAAAATAAGAAGTTAGTTTCACTTGTTTAGAAGGGAAAAAAAAAAAATCATTCTTTCGTCCTGCTTTCATCGCCTCTGGCCACCACCCATCACTCATCACCCCCCCCCCCACCGGCCACCCCCACCTCTAGCCACTGTCACCAGTGAGGTCCTTTGACAACCACCATCTCCTGCAACTGGAAACTACCTCTCGCCTCTGCCAACCACTTCCCACGGGCATCAACCAACTTTGATCACCTTCTCTTAATGAAAATCACCTTTAGCCACCACCTCCAGCCACCGCCACCACCTCCTACTAGTGGAAACCTTCTCTTGGCATAAATGTTGCCAAACAACACATTAGGGTACTGTTTTGTACTTTTATTTTTCAAAAAATTTGCAAACTATTAAACTAAATGAAAACTGTTAACTTAAATAAACACGTCTGATAACGGATTTCACTTCCCCCCAAAAAAATGTAAATAATTTTTCAAAATTTACAGTGCTGCTCTTTTCATAAGCTGGAAGTGATGGAACTATAATCCACTAATGATTCCTTTTATATGGAATTTCTCATTACCTCATCTTATTTGCAGGATTTGTTGGAACGGCATTGTCTTATGGTCTCTCATTAAACATGTCCCTTGTTTTTTCCATTCAAAACCAGTGTACTCTAGCAAACCTCATTATCTCTGTAGAAAGGCTCAACAAAAAGACATGCACATTCCAAGTGAAGCACCTGAAGTAATCGAAGCGAATTGCCCCCCGACCAACTGGCCAATAGTTGGTAAAGTCGAGATTCAAGATTTGAAGGTAATTTTTTTTGTGTACATTAACATTAAATCTGACAAATTCTTAACGTCCCAACTGAGAAAATCTGATGTTGAAACAGATCAGGTATAGGCCTGATGCGCCAATCGTTCTTCGTGGAATAACTTGCACATTTGAAGGAGGGCACAAAATTGGTATCGTTGGAAGGACTGGTAGTGAGAAGTCTACACTGATCGGTGCTTTGTTTCGTCTGGTGGAGCCTGCAGGGGGCAAGATTGTCATAGATGAGATTGATATTTCTACCCTCGGACTTCATGATTTGAGGTCGCGGTTTGGGATTATACCTCAGGATCCTACTCTTTTTAATGGGACTCTGAGATATAATTTGGATCCATTGGGTCAGCATACTGATCAGGAAATATGGGAGGTAATATATCAATCCCTCTTGTTTATTCAAATTAGTTTTTCAATTTTCTTAAATATGTGATTGTTTTTACTGTTTTAACAGGTTCTTGGAAAATGTCAGCTTGGAGAGGTTGTTCAGGAGAAAGAAGCGGGCTTGGACTTGATGGGTAAGAAGCCAAAGATTTGTACTCTCCATTTACCAGGAATTATTGCCTTGTTTTCTGTTTCTCATTTTCTGCTTTTGTTTTTAAATTTCTTGGAAACAAAAAAAAAAAGAGGGTGTTTTCTTTTGTTTTTAAGACTGATTCACTCCTTCCTCCCTCTCCCACCACCTTTGGCCACTCTATCCACGGTCGACCATCAAATAAATAATTATATGGGTCCCACTTGGGTGGACCAATCCCTTTTTTTTTTTGGGTGAATAGGCGGACTAATCCCAAAAATTTTTTCCCACCAGTAGATCATGGAGGGTCAGGTCAGCTCTGCCCATGTCGTGACTATCGATTTTATTAGTTTGAGTGCATTATGTCACTATGCTGAGTTGGTTATACATTTCCTAGTAAACTATGAAGCACAAATACTTCAAAAAAGGTGTCGTACGAGTATCAAATATGTATTGGATACAGATACGCGTTTGATACTGTAGGATACGTATTGAATATGACAAATAAGTATCTGATTTAAATTTTTTTTTTAAAAAAATTTTGAATACAATAAGGATATGGCAGAATACATGAGGGATACACCAAATAAGTATTTAAATTTTTTTTATATTTTAATATGCCAAATAAGTAGGATGCTGACCTCATTTCTATACCCCTTTCTCATTTCAGTTGTGCAGGATGGTTCAAATTGGAGCATGGGACAAAGGAAATTGTTTTGTTTGGGCCGTGCCCTCTTGAGGAGAAGCAAGATATTGGTGCTCGATGAAGCGACTGCCTCAATCGACAACGCAACAAACTTAATTTTGCAGAGAACCATTAGGATCGAATTTGCTGATTGCATTGTGATCACAGTAGCCCATAGAATACCAACCGTTATGGATAGCACCATGGTTCTGGCCATCGGCGATGGTTAGTTACTTAAATTTTGTTCCTTTCTTCCTCACCCAATAGTGGTTCCTGCAAATTCTGAAGCAAAGTGCTTTGATTAATTTTTTCCAAGAAAATTGGTAGAGTATGACGAGCCATTGAAGCTGACGAAGCGAGAAAATTCACTGTTTGGGCAACTTGTGAAGGAATACTGGTCTCATTATCAGTCTGCAGAGTCACATTGAAGCTTATGGTAATGTCTTATGTTTCATAATGGGGATTTTGCAACCCCATAGAAATGGAGAAGATTAGAGACTAGAAATACCTAATCCATGCTATGCATCGCCCCGTGCCCATTTTTCGAAAGGCAATAATGATCGGGCGTGCTTTCATTAAAATATCTTGAGAGCAAGAACTTTTACAACTATAAATTTAAGAAGGATGAGGTGCACACACTATGCATGTGTAATTATATATAAATTTATGGGTTGATTTTGAAAATTAGTTAGAAGTTACTGTGAATAAGTGTCAAAACAACATTATTGCAAGTTTAATTTTGTTAACTCTATTCTAAGGGCATCTATTAACATGTTTGAAATGGTTGTACATTATTTATAAAAGCATGTATTGTAAAAAATCTATAATCATTGTAAATTTTGTTCATTAATGTTCTTTAGCCTTGCACCATTGATTTCATGTTTGTGACACGGCCTTCTTCGTGTATCAACCACGCCATGATTATTTGTTTTGATATATTGCTTGTGGTCGTGTTCTTATTCAATGTCATTTTGAAGAAACCATCAAAGCACTTTCGTGGCGCTACGCGTTTGCAAATTATATCTGTCATTTTCAATGGAGTTTTGGGATTGGCATACTTGATTTTGGGTATTTGGATGTTAGTTGATAAATTAAGGTTGTCCCGGTCTGTTTTACCTCTCCATTGGTGGTTGCTAGTTTTGTTTCAAGGACTAACATGGTTGCCAATGGGCTTAATGATTAGCCTTAGAGGAAAAAATTTCCCAAAAGCATCATTGTGGGTTTTGACAATTCTTGCCTTCTTGTTTACTGCAATTGCTTGTTGTTTATCCCTCGTCACCGCCATTTTTATCAAAGAAGTGTCAACTAAGGTAGCTTTGGATGTACTGTCCCCTTTTTAGGGGCAAGTTTACTGTTGCTACGCACTTACAAGGGTTACAAATATGAAGAAATTGATGAAAATCTATGTACCCCCTTGAACAGTGAGGTCAATGGAAGTAGTAAAACCGGGTCTGTTGTCACCATTACACCATTTGCGAAAGCTAGGTTTTTCAATAAAATGACCTTTTGGTGGCTGAGCCCACTGATGAAAATAGGGAGGGAGAAAACACTTGAGCATGAAGATATACCCAAATTGCACGAGGAAGATCAAGCACAAGCTTGTTACTCGCTATTCACAGAGAAATTCAATGAGAAAAAATAACTCGACCCATCATCCCAACCATCGATTTTGTGGACAATAGTTTCATGCAATTGGAAGGAGGTTTTGATGTCGGGATCATTCACGCCGCTAGTAGTCGTTACTCTATCTACCGGTCCACTTATTCTCAACACCTTCATTGAGGTTGCTGAGGGCAAAGAAAGATTTAAAAATGAGGGATATGTGTTGGCCATCTTACTTTCCTTTTCAAAGAGCGTTGAGTCCTTAGCACAAAGGCAATGGTATTTCCGAAGCAAATTTGTCGGTCTAAAGTGAGGTCTTTGCTAACAGCAGCCATTTATGAGAAGCAATTAAGACTATCCAATGCTGCGAAAATGATGCACTCAGCCGGTGAGATAATGAACTCTACTTCCACTGATGCTGATCGGATTGGAGAGTTTCCTTTTTGGTTTTATCAAACTTGGACAATGAGCCTCCAGCTATGTCTAGCCTTAATAATCCTATTCCGTGCAGTGGGCTAGCAACAATCGCATCCTTGGTGGTGATAATTCTTACTGTGCTTTCATCTCACCTCAGCTTATTAACCAATTTGTTACTAATTTTTCATTTTAATTATACCCTGCAGACCCTGTCTGTCTTACTCACCTCTCTGTTCTACTTCTATTATTTTTCACTTGCATGCTCTTTCTCATTATTCAACCGCAGATCTCGTTGCAGCTCTTCGTTGTTGACAGATTCACCAAGGATTTGCCAAATCTCATTGTAGGTAGTTTGTTTATGTGTGCAACTTGAGCTAATCAGAGTGTTAATCATGATGTAGAAATCAGTTATTGAAATAATATTAATTGAAGACTTCCTTGTTTGGCACTGTTGGTTTAAGTTTCAAGTTGGTTTATAGTATTAATCCAAGACTTTTATACTTGTATTTAAGCTTGTGAGTTTGGGAATAATTAAAAACTTATAGCCTGTGTAGCTATAGATGTTAGCTTAAACTGCTTAGTATTTGTAAATCCTAAAATAACTGTTTCACTGGAATAGCCCTGAGATTTGTTTAAAATACGAATTGTCCTTTGTAGTTTTGGAAATTATATCTCGCCCCGTAAAGTTTATAATTTTATAACAAATGGCCTCTTTTATCAATAAATCAGCAAGTCAATTAACAGTTTTTAATGATATCATAAAGATATTTCAATTTTATAATTCAACTATTTTTATTATTGTATATGAGAACAATTAAAAATTTCATTTTGTCAATTAATTCTGCTAAATAAAAAATTCTTACAATGGGGTATTCGTAATTTTTCAAATTACAAATTACAAGGGGCAATCTGTATTTTAAGTAATTCTCAGGGGGTATATTTCTAATTCACCCTATTACTAGGCAATACTAATTGGTTCTTAGTTGGAAGAATATTAGACATGTATATAATGAATAATATATATGATATTTATTTTATTTACTTGCTCTTCTAGTCTCTACTACAAAACTGTCCTAGCATAAATATTGTCAAAACTAAGTTTAGCAACAAAATGGAAGTTGATTTTATTGAAAAATTTAGAATAAGGTAAATCATCGAAGACTGTTGGGATTGGAAGGAACATTGAGTTCCATCATTTTGATCGATGATTACGTTGAAATTTACAAAGGGCAAATTGTTGTATGATAATTCTTTTATTAATTTGTTGTTAATGTGAATAGATAATGGTTTTATCTTTTATGTAGTAAACTAGCATTAGTTTATTTTCCATTCTTGAATTGGAATCTCATAGCTTATATCAATTGGTAAAAAAAAATATTATGCATGTCTTGTTTCACAGAGATGAAGTGCAAGTTCTGTCCCTGAGTGCACAGTTAGAGGGAAGGGTGAAAATTGATGAGATCAACAAGAAAAATTCTTGCATTTTCAATTCAGGATGTGCTGAATTCACCCAAAAGAATTCTCTCCACATCCATCAATTCGGGATGGTTGTTTGGGTTAGTAAGAGTGTCACCGTAGAGGTTGGTGGTAGTGGTGGCTTTCAAGTGGGAAGTGTTGGAACCACTGATAGTTTTGATAATCTTGGGATAGACTGGATATTGTGTGGAACGGTTTATACTTGTTTGATTGAAGCGATTACGTGGCATTAAATTACTAGTTATTGTAAATCCGGTGTAGATTATATTCCGACATTCCTGAACATTTCCTTTAATAAAAAGATTAGCATCATTAGCAACGAAAATGTGGGAGAACAGTGGGCAAGATCTCTTAATTTTGAACAAGAAATTGTGTTGTTGAAAACAATTTAGAAGGCACATTGGCAACAAGCAGAAAAAAGTATGGGGACAAAGGGTCTCCTTGACGAAGACCTCTGGAGGGAAGTAAAGAAGCTTACTTTTCTCAATTAGCAAACACCAAGTAGGAAACTGTTGAGACACTCTACATAACCCATTGCACCAGAGCTTCTTCTATGTTCCTGGGGCCAGAGCTTTGAAGCAATTGGAAAAGAAACCTGGATATGCACATTGATGTCTTCATTCAAATTGAACCAAACTCCACTGCTATCATTCACCCTGATTAAATGATTCTGTTGGCATCTCTAGGTTACAACTGCATGAAAGAAAGGTCATACTTTAGCCATCAGAGCCGAGAACATTGATGAAAAAACATTTCTTGCCTTTTCATGAGTCTCCTTTCAGATTTCAGCATCTCTTGGGCCTGAAGGTTAGATTCCATAGGGGGTTGAAGCTGAATATCAGCGAACTGAGACTTTATATTAGCAACTTTAATATTGTTATTTCCAAAAGTCATCTCAACTCCACGTTTACGGCTGCTCTGATACCTTTTGAGCTTTTGAGAAAGCTTAAATATAAGGGAACTACCTTGAATGTCCTGCCACTTGGGTTGAACAGCATCCCTGCATTCAGAATTAGTTGACTAAATACTTTCAAATTTAAATAGTCTAGTCAAGAGACTTTTTTTAGGGGGAATACTTATGTTGCATAGGCCTAAGTACAGGTGTTGGGTATGAGTATACATATTTAGAGGTCGAATTCATCAAATCTCAAATTTAAAGGTACTTAGACTCTGGAAAAAAAATTCATATTTTTATATTTTATCTATTATGTAAAATAAAATAGTATTATATGTAATATACATTGTCAAAAAGGTATTTTACTCATTTTATAACAATTTTATGACATATATATATATAATAGTGTTATCTATAAATATATAAGGAGTGTATGAAAAGTATCATAACCATATCCCACATTTTTATCAAAGTGTCGAGTGTCCGACATGAGTATTTAATTTATTTTGAGGGGTCCATGTAACATAACATGGGGGTATACTACAGAACAATAGAAGGAGACAGTCATTAGAGCCATGGCATACCTCGTGATATACCTAGCATATGGGAAAAAAAGTTGTCCCCACCCAACTATAGCAAAAGCACGATCTAGTTATTCCCGAATATTATCCTTCTCATTATTTTATTTTATTTTATATTTTACCATGTGTATGTGGGCCCTTGAACAAGTCCATAAAAGCATAGTGCAAGTAAGAGCTTTTGAAAATGTTCAGTCTGTCCTTGCTTTTCCTGCACCGAGCCAACTTCATTGAGATCACCCAAACATAGCGAAGGTTGTTGATTCTCAGCCGCAAAACCTCTAAGATAGTCCCAGAACTTCATAGTTTGGTTCGAAGCATATTTTTGTCAGGCAAGGTTCATGATTTCCTTCTTGTGTAACCCTTTGTTTTAAATAGATGTTATTTCCTCCTTTATGCCCTTCTAATAAACAGTTTCCTTGCTTTTTAAGTAATACGGTTGCAGGAGGGAAACCGTAGCTGGGATTTAATGAGTGGTGCATCAACCTCTGGTGGCATACGGACTGCTTTCTCCTACTGTGTACAGAAAATACGAAATTATGACTACCATCATTATCTCTGCCTTCTTGAACTTCCCCCGAACATGCGGAAGGCTGCATTTGCTCTCCCTGCTTTCAATGTTGAAACAGCAAGAGCCATGGATATTGCTTCCGATCCCAAAATCGGCCTTATGTGCCTCCTCTGGTAGCAAGAAGCTATAGACAAGATATTTGCCAACAAATTAATTGAGCACCCAACAGCTTAGGCCCTGTCATCAGTAATATATGAGCGTAAAATCAACAAGGGCTGGCTGACGCGATCCATTGATGCTCGAATGAATGATGCAAAAAGAGAGGTTATTGAAATCCCAGAAACTATTGAAGAGTTGGAGCAGTATGCTGAGGACACTGTTTCAACTATCTTGTACATGATTCTTCAAGAAGGTGGTATCAAGTCCACTGCTGCAAATCATGCAGCTTCACATATTGGCAAGGCTAGTGGCCTTCTTTTTCTGCTTAAGTCGTTGCCGTACCATGCTAGCCGCAGCCGTCAGTTTTCTTACATACCTGCTAAAGTGACAGCCAAACACGGGTTGTTGGTTAACCAGGGAGGCCAAATGGAGATTTGCGTGGACTCTCGCGAGTGTTTGTGTGATGCTGTTTTTGAGATGGCATCTGTAGCTAATTCGCATCTCCAGAAAGCTCATGAATTAGCTGGAATAGTGCCTGAGGAAGCTCGTCCAGTGCTTTTGCCGGTTGTGCCTGCCTAGGTTCTTTTGGATTCTTTGAGGCGTGCACATTTTGATGTGTTCGATCGAAGATTGGCGCAAGGGATTTTGGGTATTCCTTCTTTGTGGTACCAGTTGAAACTAAAGTGGAAAGTATTGCAAGTTTGTTCTGTTTGTTTTCCAATTGGTTGGCAGAGTTCAATAGAAATTTTAAATTGTTAAAAATGTTATGAAAAATAGAAAGACTGTATATTGAATTGAATGAATAATACAATAGGAGAAGCCTGTATATATAGGCAGAAAGGAAACCTGGATAGGTACAAAAAAGGATAGAGATAAGACTGGAAGGAGGTAGAGATAGAGAGAGATACAATACAAACAAATAAGATACATCTATAATAATATACAGCTAACACCTCCCTCAAGTTCAAGGCGGTAAGTCAGATATCAACTTGAGCTTGGAGAGGAGATCAGAGAAGCGGCCTAGAAGATGAGCTTTGGTGAAGAGGTCGGCGGTCTGCTTAGCAGAAGTAACAAAGAGAAGACGAACATGGCCACTAGCTCTGTTATCAGAATCTTACGATTCGCGATTCGATTCACGATTCGATTCACAATTTTTGCAAAATCGATACAAATCTAAGGGTGAATCTATTTTGGAAGTGAATCTCTAGTGAATCGCACGATTCACAATCGATTCACGATTCGATTCGCTTTTTACGATTCATGCAATTTTAAAAATTATTGTGTCGGACATATTTTTGACTCTATTTTTCCTCTATCTTTTTAGTAAAAATGACATAATACAACTTCTAATAGCGTTTAATACGAAAATAACCAGCATATATACATGCTTTGTTGTTATTTTAGTGATCATGAAGTTTTTAATAGGATCCAATTAGATTTAGTCAGATCCAACATATTTTTAACCTTTTTTCTCATTATTTTTTTTCCTTTAAAAAATCATAATATATCTTCTAAAGATGTTTAAAATTAAAATTACACTATGAATTATCTGTTGCTATTTTATTAAATTAAATATTACATCTATGAGGTCAGTTATATTTTTAAAATATTTTAGGCTTTAAAAAAAAAGATTCTAAATGATTCTTTCTTATTATTTGCTCACTGTTACTTAGAAAAGTATGTATGCTTATTGTCTAAATATCAATATCGTTGTTAATTATTATTATTTTAGAAATTGATAGTTTGTCTATTTGGTTATTATTTTTATTAAGAATGGTTGATAAGAAATATCTAAAAAAGAAAAAAAGGTAAGATAGTGATCTTACATAGGAACGTTTGTTAACTTCTTACTTATTAAACTACGTGATTATCATTCAAAATAATATTTTTATTGATTTAAGTCTAAATATTTTATATTCATAAGATATATTTAACATCTAAATGTGTAAATATATGTTTTTAAATAATTTAGAAGAAGTGACCGAATCTTTACGATTCTCGATTCGATTCGATTCACGATTCGGTACGAGATCATTTCGATTCACGATACGAATCCCGATTTGACAACTATGCTCTTACCCACACTCCCAAATGAATACTTCGTTTGTCTCCTCTTATAAGCTGGTTTATAAGCCAATTTTGCTAGAAAAACGTTTGGCAACTCTTAAAGTTGACTTATAAGCCCATTTTGCTAAAAAAACGTTTGGCACATCTTAAAAGCTAGCTTATAAGCCCATTTTGCTATTAAAAAAAAAACTTTAGGTTGTTTGTGATTAATGATTTCTCACCAAAAAGTCAGCTTTAGCCACTTAAAAAAAGAAGCAGCTAGGAATATACCAAACGAATTAGTTTTTTTTAGCATTAGCTTTTTTGTTGGCTTATTTTTAGCCAATAAACTAGCTTTTTAGCTAACTCTCAAAAGAAGCCTTGTGAGACAAACATGACATAAATAAACACTCATGCACAAACTCCCAAAATTAAAAAAAAAGTAGTCATAATAAGCAAATTCAATAAACTGCCACAAATAGGTTGAAGTGTTCAATATCTGGACGAGTAACTGTGAGATACATAAGACTACCAACTAGCTGACGATATAAAGTGGCATTTGACAATAGGGGGCCATCAAGAGGTGTAAGACGAGTCTGAGGATCAACTGGAGTAGTGACAATCTTGCAATTGATAAGGCTAGCACAAGCCAAGAGATCAGAAGCATACTTGGCCTGGGTAAGAAAATAACCAGAGGAATCTTGAGAAATTTCCAAGCCAAGGAAGTAGCTAAGTGCACCCAAATCTTTCATCTCAAACTGGCGATGAAGAAACTGTTTGAGACTAGAAATACCCACTGTGTCATCTCCAGTGATAATCATATCATCCACATAGAGGAGAAAGAGAATAATATCGCGCTCTGTCTTACGAATAAACAAGGTAGAATCATGGGCACTGGAAGAAAAACCAAAGTCACGAATGGTAGAGCTGAACTTGGCAAACCAGGCACGTAGAGCTTGTTTCAAACCATACAAAGCACGACAGAGTTTGCAAACCTTGTTTGAAGGAACAGAAAAACCAGGAGGGGGTTGCAAATAAACTTCCTCAATGAGATCACCATTGAGAAATGCATTCTTGATATCCATCTGAGAAAGGTGTCAGTGGCGAGCAGCAGCAACGGCAAGTAAGCTGTGAACTGAAGTAAGACGGGCAACATGAGCAAATGTTTCCTCATAGTCAATCCCATATTCTTGACTAAATCCCTAGGCGACAAGGCGAGCTTTGTAACGCTTAATGGAACCATCATAATGGGTTTTGATCTTGTAAACCCATTTGCAACTAACAGTACGCTTTCCAGGAGCAAGATAAACCACATCCCAGGTATGAGTTTGATCGAAAGCCTGCAGTTCATCAGTCATAGGTTGTTGCCAAAGAGGGTTAGAAGAAGCTTCTTGATAAGAAGTAGGCTCATGAGAGCAAAAGACAGTGGAACCAACAATATAATCACGGAGAAGAACAGAAGGTTGCCTTACCCGTGTAGAATGATACTCAGGTGGAGGAGGAACCTCAATGGAAATTGGTTCCGGAGGAACCTCCATCGAAGCTGGAGAAGGCGTAGGGCCATCAGTTGACACAGGATCCTCAGGATGGACGATAGGCGTTGGTGGCTGTGGAAGCATGGGGCCAGAATCTGCATCAAAGTCATCAGAAAACAGATCTATAGAAATATCAGTGAAGACTGGTGAGTGGGTAGACGGCGGTAGGTGAAACTTGGAAAGAGTAGAGAACATTTCGTATTTCTCGTCGACTGACGCGGAAGCCGGTGGAAAAGCCGACGGCAGGGCGACTGAGGTGCTAGGGCGGAAGCCGAGGTCGGCAAATGCGGAAGCCAATGGGCAAGCCGACGTCGGAGCGGCTGAGGCTCTGGTGCGGAAAGGCGACTGAGGCAGAAGCCGATGGGCAAGCCGAGGGAAGCCGGCTGAGACAGCGCATGCTGGAGCGTGCTGAGAGTAGAGGCGGCGTCAACCGATGCACTTGTCTTTGGGAGGTACGTGAGGGCGCGTGGTAACTCCGATGGAGGTGAATCTGGTGGCATTGAATTCGTCGTGAAGAGACGAAGATGTAGGTATAGTCCAAATGTTGAAACAGGAATGGACTAGATATGCAGAAACTAGCAGAAACGGACAGAGGACATAAACAAGCTGCCAAAGAAAAAAAACAGGAGGGAAAAAATGTTAGGAAAGAATCCTAGGCTCTGATACCATATTATGAAAAATAGAGAGACTGTATATTGAATTGAATGAATAATACAATAGGAGAAGCCTGTATATATAGGCAAAAAGGAAACCTAGATAGGTACCCAAAAGGATAGAGATAAGACTAGAAGGAGATAGAAATAGAGAGAAATACAATATAAATAGATAAGATACATCTACAATAATATATAGCTAACAAAAAATAAATGGGTTTGCCTTTTTCTTTGAACGCATTCTTTGACCTCTCAAGACCACTTATGTGTTCTTGATATTAGCATGCATGGAATGGTCTCGAGAACTTTTAGAAGCGATTAATGTGTAGTAGGAAATTTCGATTTTTGCAATTTACGAACTCGTAAGCATATGAATAAGAAATTTTGCGTCGGAGAGATCATTGTATTTTTATTGGCTTTGACTACGTCAAACTCTTGTTGATTATCTGCATGCTTGTTGATATTCCAAGCGAATCTAATTCTATATGTTCAGTGCCGGCCCGGCCATGGGCCAATAAAGTCATGCCTAGAGTCGCTTAAAATAGACTTAAAAAAGGGAAGTCTTTTTTATTATGATTTAGTGTAATATATTAGGTATATTTTAAGTTTAAAAAAAATTAAAGAAAACCTAAACTAACTTAAAATAAATTGACCCATTTAAAAAATTGAAAGGCTCATTCAAAAAAATTAATATTATTATCCATTGAAAATAGATCCAAAAAAAGGATCCCTCCTATTATAGTTTATTGTAATATATTAGGTATATTTTAAATCCAAAAAAAAATTAAGGAAGACCCAAACTAATTTAAAATAAATTAACTCATTAAAAATTTGAAATGCCCATTTGAAATAATTAACATTGTTATCCATTGAAAATTATTTTACAAAAAAATTAGATTATGCAAGTATGATTAATTTATTTGCTTCTAAAAATGCAAGAAGAGCGAGGATCAAGCGACACTAATTAATTGTTGTAATGTAATACTAAGTATTTTTTGTGATTTTGACACAAATTTTTTGTCTTTTATCTTCATTTTTTTTTCATTTTTTTTCATTCAATGAAAATAAAAATGTGAAGGGCCTCAAAAATTTATTAGTTGATTATTAGCTTTGGACTTGGAAATCTCAAGGTCAGGCCTGTCTATGTTTCAAATTGTTGTAGATTAGTTGTCAATTTGTTTAATGATATAAATATGTTTCATAATGTAATTACTCTAAGGGGTGACTACCTATAAGTGGGGGAAGGAAAATTATATTAAAAAAATGCTATGAACTTTAAATATTTTATTAATATTTTTACTAAATATCTCATATAAGTGTGAGACTTAATATTTAAAATTCTTAACATTACTCATTGTATAATAAGTGAGTGAGAATCTTGTTCTCATGCACCCTCTACCTTTCTTCCTTGTCTTTTTCTCCCTCTAGCAATTATGCCCTAAAGGCATTGGTGTAGTAATGCCACAAATTAATATCAATAATTCATTGGTGTGAAGCCCATGTAGATCCCCCACCAATAAATGACTGAAATTGATTTATGGAATTGCCACATGGGGTATGGAATAATTTTTCCCCTCTCTGCCTTTTCAGTTGCCGCTTCCGTTCTCTCTAGCTTTCTCTCTCTTTCTTCTTTTTTCTTTTTTCTTTTGTTTTTTTATTAAAAAAATTATGGGTTCGTTTGGTTTGCATTTCAGAAAAAATTTTGAGAAATTTTCTCTACAAATAAGTTTTTAAAAGTAATCAAACCAAACAAATTTTCTCAAAAAAATTTCTCAAAACTTGTAGCCTATTTTGGTTTGGTTTATTGTGATAATATTCATCTGATTTGGATTGTCTGATTTGGTGATAAATGATTAAAAAAAATAAAAAATGAAGTGAAACAAAATTTGGGTTTGTCAAATTTATTCTGAAATTTGTTAATTTGGCAACAAAATTGAAAATTGGGTTTGATTCTCATATTTGGGTTTGATTATGAATTTTTTGGGTTCCCTACTGTTTCAATTCTGGTTTTATCAACTGAATTTGGTGCTAAAAATCTGTTGATATTTGCTGATCTGGCAAGTTTGGCAACTACTATTCAACCTACCAAATTTGAGAATAGATATGGCATCTGCTATCTTTGGCAAGTGAAATAGCAGACCATTGGAGACCTCTTTTTGCCATTCTTGTCAAATTTTAGCTTTGGCAGCTTGAATAGCAACTCCATTGGAGATGCTCTCAGTCAGAATATAAAAAATTAAAACAGCACAATTATGATGAATGCAAATGATAAAACAAAAAATTAAAAATAACACACTGTGTTTTATGTTTTCAAAATATATGTAAACTAGTTCGACGGAAATTAAAAAAAAAATATTAACTCAAATTATACAATTAAAAATAAAGATAAAAATATTCAAACATAGAAATATTTAAAAAATTATTTTTGTTCAAAAAAGAAAGAATCGTATGAAAATGAAAATGTTTTTTTTAACAAACTATATTTTTTTATTTTTTTAGAAAAAAAAAAGAAGACAAAATTTAAAAATTCAATTAAATATTTTATTTTTCAACTTTAAAAATAGTTACAAAAATTAGTTTAAAAAAATTAATCGCACACTATATTTTAACTTTATAAATAGTTATAAAAATAGTTAAATTAGTCATAAAAAAGAAAAATTCACATCGAATATTTTAGCTTTAAAACTATTTGTGCGAGTACAAGTTCAATATATGTTCAAGTGCAAGTTCAAACTGTATGGGCTGCAATTCTATTCTGTGTAGGTGCAAGTCGAATTTATGTGGAGTGCAAGTCGAGTCTGCGTAGAGTGCATCTTAAATAGACTAGACATGCACTCCACACAATTTTTTAAACATTTTAATATAAATTTTAAATTTGCACTGCACATAGACTTGCATCCCATATAATTTATATCTACACAGATTCAACTTGCATTCCATACAAAATAGACTTGCACCCACGCGAAGTCGACTTGCACTCCATACTAAATAGACTTGCACCCAACACAGACTCGACTTCCACCACATACATATTCAACTTGCAAAATGCTTCAGACCCCCACTAGGGGTCGACCCCCAGTGACACTCCACACAATTTTTTAAACATTTTAATATAAATTTTAAATTTGCACTGCACATAGACTTGCATCCCATATAATTTATATCTACACAGATTCAACTTGCATTCCATACAAAATAGACTTGCACCCCACGCGAAGTCGACTTGCACTCCATACTAAATAGACTTGCACCCAACACAGCCTCGACTTCCACCACATACATATTCAACTTGCACCCCCATAGAAATTGAACTTGCATTCGGACACAAATTAAACTTGCACTATGCACAAATATTTTTAAAGCTGAAATACACTATATGAATTCTTCTTTTCTGTAACTAATTTTTGGTATTTTATAACTGTTTATAAAGTTGAAATATACTGTGTGATTAATTTTTTTAATTATTTTTAAAGTTGAATATAAAATATTTGGTTAAATTTTTTAATTTGTCTTCTATTTTTTTTGGCAAAAAAAAAAATAGTTTGCAAAAAAAAAAAATCATTTTCATTTTCATACAATTCTACCATTTTTGAACAAATTTTTTTTAAAAATATTTGTATGTTTGAATATTTTTATTTTTATTTTTACTTGTATAATTTGAGTTAATATTTTTTTATTTATTTTTGTCAAACTAGTTTACAATATTTTTATAATATATATTTTGAAAAATAACAAAACAGAATGTGTTATTTTTAATTTTTTTTTATCATTTGCCCTCAACATAATTGCGTTGTTCTAATTTTTAAATTTTAACTTAGAGAAATAACTAATATTTTTTATTTAGGTAATTTTAGATAGTCTTATTGACGCCAACTTTAATTATATTTTAGTTATGTA